CAGCTGCTATGTATATCCCACCCCCCCCTCCACTCCCCCACCCCACCCCTACACACACTCACACACATACCCAACATCTGGTCCCTGGATATCAACCCAAGGTGAGCTGACTTTCCTTACCCCTGGCCACCATGAATTTTACTTCTGGCTACCAACCCCATCCCCACCCCATGCACGTATGTTCACCACCTGGCTCTGTTCCCATTCATCTCCATTCCTACCTTGCCCCTTCCAGTCTAGAATTGTGATTCTTACAGGCTTTGCAGCCAAGATCATACACACACAAAAAGATACCAATACTGTGCTTCTTTGGTCAAAATGCACATATAATAATATTAATAACAATACTTTGCATACCACCAGACTTATAAAGCATTTGTAGATATTTCCTCATTTTCCTACAATCCTGAACTTTCCAGTTTTGCTACTCTCACCCCACTAGAATAGGAGGAAGGAGTGCCTTGAACTCAAGTGACACAGAACCATATGTACTTATACCTACACGTAAAATATCTAAGATGAATTCAGGCTCAAAAAGAGCATCTAAGATGTTAGTGAGGTCCTCAGCCCCTCCCACCATGGTTAATGCAGCACTGGATATACCAGAAAGTGGTGAGCCTCCATTGTCCAAAGGAAATTAAGGAAGACCAACAAAACAAGGGTACCAGGTGAAATTCAAGCCCTGTTTTAGCAACAAGTACTGAGTCCCACTATGTAAGGAACTAGAAGAGAACTGACCCTGGCCCCAGACACCACAGCTTTGTGTCTCTGTAAAGCACAGCCAAGCTCAAAGCATTAGTCTAGAATTCTCCATTGTGCCCTACCCACCCACCCCCAGCAACCCTCAAAACCTGAAGAGGTTTGTAGGGCTTGCCTTTGATCAGCCGCTCAGGTCTTGTCCCTGGTAAGGTCCACATTGCCTGTGCCAAGTGTCCAAAGACAGTGGCGTCGAGAGTGGAAAGCTTGGGCCCCATGATGTACTTCTTATCACCTGCAGCAGACAGAGCAGAGAGATCACTGGGCTGGCACACACTGCCCCACATGATCACAATGGCATTCAGCACACTCATTATCCCCTCATGTAACTGTGCACCAAAAAGGTTTGCAGAGTCAAAATGCATGCATTCCCTTTTTCTTAAAAAAAAAAAATTAGAACAAAAGTAAAATGAATTAAGCAATTCTGTGATACAGCAACCCACAGGGTAGCAAAGCAGGAAGCATATCAAGATAAGCAGATGAGGCACGGTGTTGATGGGAAAAAGAGAGAACTGATCAGCAACAGACCTCTGAAGAAGGGAACCTCCTTATTCTGAACACCAGTACTTAAAGCTTGTGATGCTTGAGGACACCTGGAAATTTGCTAAAACCATCTCAAAAGTAACCCAAACCCAGCACAGCCAACCTCAGCACGTACATTATTTAATTAATACATTTCCTCAGGAAAAACAAGAAGCATAAGCTTCTTAAGTTGGGAGGCAAGGTTTTCCAGGACACCCCACAGCCTTGGCAAGGTTCTCACCACTGAGCACAGCTTCCCTGGGAAATACTGAGTAAAGAGAAGCTGTGAGGTCACAGGCTCAGCCCTGACACCAGTTCCCACACAGGGATGTTTCATACACTGCTCCCGTCTCTCTGTTTCCACCACTAGTGACCTAGCTCAGGTTTTGTCACCGGGGCTATCACACTCAACCTGTTAAAATTGCTCCAGGTTGTAACGTGCTGCAGCATAGAGAGGCAGCACAGTGGAATTGGATCCTCCTAGTTCACATCCTGGCACCACGGTTATTCACTGTGGGAACCTGGTCATTACTCAAACTCCCAGAGCCTCAGTTTTCCCATCTGGAAAATGGGGATAATATTAAGAGTGTCTATTTCTTGGGGCTACTGTAAAAATGACATGACACGGTCCATGTAAAGCACTTAGCACCATAACTGGGTAACTCAATGAACATTAGCTCTCATGATGACAGCCCTCCCTTTCTCCAATCCATTCCACATCCCACCTGAGCATCAATCTCCTAAGGTGCTCTTTTCATCATGTCACTGTGTTTCACAGACACCTTCGATGGTTTACTAAATGAGTTATGAAATAAAGTCCAAACTCAACTTGAGCTCAAGGCCCATCATACTCTGCCTCTAACCCATCTTCCAGCTTTATCCCTCCCTTACTCGAGCACACCTGAGGACCACCCTCCCTCCGCCAGCACACTCCCCACTTCCCACTGCTACTGCTTTGCTATGCTGTGCCCACCCCTTCCCCTGCCCCTCACACCCTCTATATGCTCCTCACTTCTACCTGATCAATTCTATCCATGCTTCAGGCCCAGCCCCAGCCTCTTTTCAAAGCTTTCTCTTTCTGCTCTGTCTGGTAGCACAGGAGCTCTCAGTTCATACAGCTCTGTGTTCAAATCTTTCTTTTGCATGTGACCTTAGAGGACTTTAAGGCATTCAATGCCTATGAACCTCAATCCTGAAGTATGAAATGGGAAGAATCGTTAGTTGTTGAGAATAATTGAAGTTATTCACAGCAGATATATCCTGCCTCTTCTCTCTTGGGCCTCTTGATTGGCATTTTTTCCATACTGCTCTATACAAAGGTTTTTTATTTATGCATTTTATTGTCCCAGCTAAATGGTTGGCTCTTTGAAAGTAAGGGTCATTTCTCACTGTTATTTAACAGACTCTTATACCGTGTTCACTATGTGCCTGGCACAGTTCTACGTGCTGTGCCCTAGGAATATCCACCCGTTTCACACTTCTTGAGTGGCAGGCTGAGGAAGTTAAATATCTGAGGACAACACAAAGGTGAGACAGGAGGGGAAACAGCTGGAGGTGGGAACACAAGGTAACAAACCAATACAGCACAAGAGAAGCTGGAAGTGATTTTTGTAAAAAATCATTTCTATTGTATGAGGGTACTCAAAAAGTTCATGGAAACGTTGAATCAAAAGATAATACAACTGTTGGACTTACAGAGAGAGAGAACATACCTTGGGATACAAAGTGGAGTGGAGAAAGGGGGATGGGGAGGGAGGTTGGGGATAATTGGGGGGACACGGGGTATAATCACAATTTGTTGCAATGGGCATGCTGCCAGTATGGATCTGGCCACCACATCTTAGGCACGAGTGTTGACAATTTGCTTTGTACTCCATGAATATTCATAACCAATAAATAAATAATACAAATCCCTCTATGAACTTTTTGAAGACCACTCATATGTTCTCTAGGAACCAAGAAATACCCTACACCAGCACAACATGCTGAACCTAACCAAAGTGTCTTTTCTGGTGAGGACGATCAAGTCATCCATGTTAGACCCCCTAGGCGTTTCCATTGTCAACCAAATTCTGCATCATGAGTCTCATCCAAGGAAAAGCCTATTACCTAAATACTGGGAAAACAAGGGAAAATACTACCTGGGCAAAAATAATAAGAAAAACTAGGTATCATTTGTTCTCAAGAGTATCAGTTACTTCCCAATGGTGCCTCCAGCTAGCTCCATGCCTCCGCCACACCCCTGCTGGCATTAAGTGAACGCAGGTAGGCAGCTCTCCTGCCACCCGCCAGGGCAGGAGGGGTGTTTCAGCCAGATGGCCACACAGTCCTCCCTACAGGATTGTGCCAGGGCTCAACCCATTCAAGGCTCAAACATAGTACAGCCCACAAAGTGGGAGCCGTGAGAGGGCTTTAGTGCTGTTGTGGAAAGGGCCACACACAGCTTCAGATAGGAGAAAACAAGAATAAAAAGAGTAACAATGGCTTCCTGACCAAAAACTAAAAATAAAAAGGAGGAAAAAAAATGTTCATCTCCTTGAATTGCTAAAAAAAAAAAAAAGGACTCTAAGGAAAACACCAGAGTAAAGTCTATAAATTGTGAAGTCTGTTGTAGAATCCAAAGACTTTGGGGGCAAGATGAAAAAATACATATGGATAAAAAATTTGGAAAACCTAAAAATAGAGCACATAAGATCTGGAAAAAAGAAAAAAATAGTCATAAAAAATATAATCATTTGAACGTGTACATCAACTCGTGCATACAGTGTTTAGCCAAAACTTGCCATTTGGTCTCAGAACATTAAAACTGGAAGGACACTGAGTTAGTAACAGAACCAGACTAAGAATGCTGGCACCCAGGTCCCTTGACTGCTGGCCTGATGTCCTTATCTACACAATATGCCACATGAATCATCATCTCAGAGATAAGGAGAAGCAGCAGAGGGTTGAGCTGTAAAAGTTTACAAAAGGATGTTTTGGTCAGGAAGAAACACAGAATACTGAAGGGAAAAGAAAAACAGACATCTGATGAGGTTTCTTTTAAAGCTGCTTACAAAAAAAAAAAAAATATATATATATATATATATATATGGAATTTAGTATCTGTGGAATATGTTGAGTGGAAGACACAAAATTATATGTATACACACACACACACACAGAGGACAGTTATAAATTTAAAGAATATAAAAAATTCTCTGTCATTAAAATGTCCTCAGAGTACCTGATAGCAGGAAGCTGCTTTAAACTTTATTTTGAAATAATTTTAGACATACAGAAAAGTTACAAAAATAGCACAGTTCCTGTATATCCTTTAAGCACCTCCTGCTAACATTAATATCTTACATAACCACAGCACCTTTATTGAAGATGAGAAAGAAACCATTAGTACAATACTACACTACAAATCTTATTAATTCTTCAACTAATGTCCTTTTTCTGTTCAGTATCCAACCAAGGATCCCACATTGCTGTTAGTTGTCATGTCTCCTTAGTCTCCTCCATCTGCAAAAGTTCCTTTCATAACCTTAACACTTTTAAGTAATAATGGTCAGTAATCTTGTAAAACGTCTCTCATTTGGGGCCGTCTATGGTTTTCTTATGATTAGATTAAGTCATGCATTTTTGGCAACAATACCATGGAAGTAGTAATGTATATCTTTCTTTGATGGTTAATTTTATGTGTCGACTTGACTGGGCCATGGGGTGCCCTGCTATTTGTTCAAACAATATTCTCAGTGTGTCTGTGAGGGTGTTTCCGGTTGAGATCGGCATCTGAATCAGCAGACTGTGTAAAGCAGATCACCCTCCCTGATGGGGGTGGACCTCACCCAGTCAGTTGAAGGCCCGACTGCCTTCAGTCTGGGACACTGGCTTTTTTCTGCCTTTGGATTCCAGTTGAAACACTGGCACTTACTGGGTCTCAAACCTGTCAGCCTTCAGTCAGTTCTCCTGGTTTTTAGGCCTTTGGCATCAGACTACACCAAGAGCTCTCCTGCACCTGCCACTTGCCAACTCATCCTGTAGATCTTGGGAATTGTCAGCCTCCATAATTGTATAAGCCAATTCCTTATAATAAATCACTTTATATCGTATTGGTTCTGTTTCTGTGGAGAACCCTGACTAATATGCCTTCTCAGGGCATCATATCATAGTATATAATGTCCATATATTTTGCCACTGGTGATGTTTAACCTGGTAACATGGTAAAGGTGGTATCTGCCAGACTTCCTCACAATAAAGTTACTATTTTTCCTTTTGCAATTAATAATCTTGGGAGAGATACTTTGAGACTGTACAAATGTCCTGTTTCTCTTCAAACTTTAGCCCACTAATTTTAGTACCCTTTGGTAGATGTTATCTGAAACAATTATTACTGTGGTGTTTGCTTAATCGTGATTTTCTATTTCTCTCATTCCTTCTACATGTATTGATTAGAATTCTATTGTCCTTCCATCCCCATTTACTAATGTATTCAATTATTTATTTATGTAGGCATGCACTCATGGATATTTATTTTCTTCAATAGGTTTTAATCCAGTACTTTCATTATTTATTTTGTTGCTCAAATGATTCCAGCTTTGGCCTTTGGGAGCTTGGCAGGAAGCATTTTTAAACAGGAAATTGAATTAGATTTGACTCTGCTTATAGATAACAAGGCCAAGTCAAAGGCTTCAGATCTGCAGCACTCCCAGGGTTCACCAAGTGGCTGCA